TTTGTTATTTAAAGATCATCATTTATGAGAGTTTGTACACTGAACTCGAAAAACGAGAAATGAAAATATAGGTTGTGCAATAATTGTCAACAAGAACGACCAATTACTTTTAGGAAACAAATCAACCGCAGCTATACTTGGACATTTTAACAGACAATTTGTTCGTAATAGTATTAAAAATAATACGTAGGTAGACACTATATTTATACGATTTAGAATGGAAAATATATTTTATGTGTACTATATTGTGTGAATTATGCTATAGCATTATTAGCGGAATCATAAATTATAATTAGTAATAATATGGTATCGTATTTTTCTGTTTTTTTTTTCAGATCGATATGCTAGAAGAAATTATAAAGTTTAACTTGCAATTTGCATCGAATTTTTGCATACAAAATTAAAACAAATCAATAAATATAGTTGAACATATTATTTGCCACAATGTTTAAAAAAAAAATTGCAGAGTTCGTTCATTTGTATAGATACTATGTTATTGAATACGGCGCAATGCACTGAGGAAAGCGGTGTTCCGGTGTTGTATGCTTGTATTATAGGTGAAGGAACTCCTCAACTTCGGCATTAAACTTAAATATTACTAACAGATTTATTCCATATTACTCATAAATATTATGTCATTAACACGACACTCTGTGTTTGGTCAGAATCTTGTGTGGTTATTTTTTCGCATAACTGCTTAAGGAATATAGGCGTGTACACAGATTGTTTGTGGTATGTTGAACGTTTTTTTGGTTTCCTTAGTGTCGACCAACGACCGTACATAATATATTATATATTGTTGTATACATATATTTGGCCAACGTCATAGTGAAAAAAAAATACACATGGGTAACTATTGATGCGAAAAAGAACCGTTTATTCGATACAGTATTGACTATGGCTGGGTGTACCTCTATACCTATACCTACTAAATAGTTATGCAACAGACGCCGCCCGACAAACCATGCCGCGCACGCTTATCCACGTCGTAATTACGCGTGCACTTATGTATGATGCTACAACTGATGATAGGTATGCAATATTACGGTCGACAGTGATCTTCGAGAATATCAATCATTGCATATGGAATATCTTGATGATTATAATTTGTATACTTTGCATTTAATTCTTCGATAAAAAATAACCTAGACGTCTAGTGTTTTTCACCAAGTGAATATCGTGTGTTTTAGTATAGTTATAGGTATGTCGTACAGTAATACGATACATGTGTGAAATTATTTTTTTTCGGACGTCACATCAATAATTATATACATGCATGCAAGAATGCGAGTAAACTGTATAGACATTGTGCAATTGATTCTTCATCTTCTGTATACTTCTAGTTGACAAGTTTATCAATATTTTATTTGTTTTTTTTTTTTTATGTCCACTGTATGAAAAAATATATTGTGAGCGATAAGTCTTAACGTTGTCTACGATATTATGAATTCTACGAATCGCAACGTATTAATATTCAATTTTTGTAAGATTTATCTAGAAAATCCAATATCATGTCTCTTGACTAAATAAAGTTGTTGACACCACATTGACATAACTTTATAATGTTATGCGTGTGTATGTAATTAAGAATAACAAATAATCAATAATGGTAAAAATAAAAAGGTGTCATTAAAAATGTCCTGCATAATGTATAGTACAAATCACAGATTATATCAGTTTAATTATATTTTGAAAATTATGTTATATTATAGGTACCTATACCTATATGATACATAGTGTTGATTTGTATGGTGATTTCAATATATAACAGTAAAATTGAATGTTAAATAACCTATACAGTATATACATGTAGAACAATCATTGTGTATTTTATGGTTACTTAATTTTTTTTTTTTAAACAATAACATGCATTATGCATATTGCATAGCAATATTCTTCTTAATAATACATATTATAGCCACTTATAGAAAATGAGTAAATATCTTGATAATAATATAAATTGTTAAAAAAAATTGTATTGAATTATACTTAATTTACATAAAAACCAAACTACAATTATTTTAAATTACAAATCATTCATACATAAAAATTGAAAGAAATAATATATGATAGCAACTTTAAACTGGCCCAGTAAGCTAAAACACGCTATATTCCAACCCCTGGTCAGTCTATTCCTGATGTATAAATGATTTTAAAGCGTCACTAGAGTGGTTTTATCGTTCTTGTTTCTACTCCAATAATTAATAGTTATCAAGTCAATGGATAGATGATTTATACCTATTAGTGTAGATTTATGCAAAATGTCAAAATATAAATACTAATTAAGCATTTTGTTTTTATTGTAAAATATACTCAATATACACTTTACACAAATCTAATATTAAATTCAAAATAATTAAATAGACTCAATAAATATCTACATATATTTTAGGAAAATATGGTCTAGATAGTATACACAAGTAGGTACATGACAACTAATCGATAGTTTTGTATTGAATATTTTATTTAGTAGATATATGTTATTGATTTCCCTGGATCATTAATTATTTAATTAATTTCTCAAAATCCTAGAAATGGGTCATATATTAAATTGTTCCGTAAAAAAATATTTAAATTTGAAGTCTTTTGATAAATATTAAATATCTAACTCTTATCCAAAATATATCGAGATAAATGTTATCTTTTTAAGTTAACACTAAATTTAGTGAAAACTATTAAGTTATAGGTGGCCAAAGAATATGTAAGCACATTAAACTTTTTCATTCATCTAACTCACAATATTATGCAAACGTCTTTCTTTAATGTCGCTACATCATTAAAACCCACTATGAACTATTAGATTATTGTACTGAATATGTATAGTTATATCTCATGTAATATATAAATCATCATATTTATTTATTTATAAACAAAAGGTTTCGAATTTTTTTAATCGTTTCTACATTTTTACCGTTTTTTGTCTTTTGCATTTACTTAAAACAGTTAAGTCATTACAATTTTAAAATAAGTAATCCACCCATATCATGAATAAACTTAATTTACCACTTTATATTATATATACAAAAATATGTAAAACAAATAAAATGTATCTACGCATCGCATCTACAATAAAAATTAAAATAAATTAATACTTTAATAATACAACTGTTTTAATTTGAACAACTCTTATAAATTGTATAATTTATGGAATAACAATTACAATAAATTATAAATTCAACAAAATGCACTATGTTTTAAATTAGATATTGCATAACTTTATGATTTTAAATTCAATTTAATAATATAACCTTATAACATAGGCGTACGTTTTGTAATTGGGGCCCTAAAACTGAAATTCCAGAAAAATAATTTTTGATGAGGTAGATTCTAAAATATTTTAAATGTACCTACGCGAAAAAATGTACTATGTTAAACAGTTAGATGTTATATAAAAGTACAATTCACGAATAAAAATTCAAACTATTATAATAGAAATTGATATTTGATTCAAGGAAAAATATTAAGTAAAGGGCCCAAAAATACTGTAGTTACTCCCTGAAATTTAATTCTGCGCACTCCTATGCCTTCTAAATAATAAATCTTACATAGGATATATAGCTATACAGTACATATATTATGAACATATCATATAATAAGTAGAAGTTAAAAACATATAAATAAAAATATTTTGTGAATACTAGATTTATGTATTTACATTATATAAATTATATTTAATAGGGAAGTTTTCTAAAAAATGTAATCAATTGGCTGGTAAAAATTTGTGCACATGGATAATAATATGCTAGATAACAGCATGGAAAAAGAATTAATTAAATCAGTTACATCGTTTAAGTACTGTAGGTTAAGCCATGCTTAAAATCTTTAGAGTTTGTAGCGATCTACAATAATTAGTTTGATATTTACGTACAGTATAAACTATAATAAAATAATCTAATATTTATAATACTAGAGTATTAAACTAGCGGAAAAATATAATCAGTATTTTAAATCGTTAAAATAATATATTGAGCTGAAAACTAAAAGTTCTTCACGAACATTGCTACATCTCGCAGTGCAGCATTATATATTTATGTACTTATACAATTCACGTTAAATACACTATCACGTATTAGTTATTATTTATTACTACTGAACGTTAATTGATTTATTTGAAAAAATAAGCGAGTACATATTGTGAACCACAAATTAGCCACTTCTGTCAGTTAGAGAATGTTAAAAATGTCAAAGATGATACTTGTTTATTTATTTATTTATTTTTTTTTTTTTTTTGTGAGCAGTTAGAACATGTATATATTATATTGATTGTGAATATGCAAGCTTTACGGTTCAGTCAACGAGTACAGACTGCATAGTACAAAAGTATTAAACCTACCTATGTTATATATATAAATATTACATATATTCACGTAATAGCTTACAAAATAAGTTAGGATAAAAAATAAAATAGACATTTTTTAACAGGGCTTAAGTTGCTAATATTTCTATACTATAATTAGTCGTGCCGGTTAAACTCCCCAACACATAATCAACAAAAGAATATTTCTGCGAACTGGTCACCACCTCTCTCATAGAAAACAATCATCACTACAAACAATAGTCAACAGATGCAAGGTTATTTTATACAAAATTATATTGTGAACCGTTTGCCTATTCGATGGCGGGTAAATGCGATACGATAGTAAATTCAAATTCGAACGGATAAAAAAGTTTAAAATGACGTGTATGCACAAAAAGTCTACGGGCCCAAAAACTTAATAATTAACTTACGCATAGTTTAATAACATTTTAAAACTATAACAGTAAAATATGTTTAAGAAGAAATGGGTATAATGATCTTCCCCTTAAATAATTATTAAATAATTATTCATCGAATGCTACACATACTATACAGTCTAATAGTATAGCGATAAAGACGTACAAAGTCAAATGAAGGATATCGTATAATATGTAATGGTAAAATCTGACATGCAACTGCGTAATACACGTAATAAATAACAATATTTTAACTATAATTTAAACCGCGCGCGCGTCAAACTCACCCGCAATCGGTCGGCAGATCTTCAATGTGCGGCTGTACCGTTGGGCGGGCGTACGGATTGGTCATCTCGTCCAGTGATTTCGGATATTACCACGACCGCTGTACCGATTAATTATTACTGTATAAAATAATAAACGTCAAATATAGATAGATTGCAGCCAGATCCTGTTGTAAATTATAATATTCTTCTACAAATGGGCCCGCGACGACTGCAGCTGTACTCTCGCGTTAATGACGTTTCAGTGTACACCACCGAGGTATGACAACGAGGCGAGTTTTGTTATTATAACAACATTAATAATATTATTGTGGAGAACCGACGGCGCGTTGCCAGAATACGATACTGTTGTGGCGATATTCTGTGACGTCGTTGTCGTCATCGTCTCCGCCACGACCAAAACGTAAAAAAACCAAAGACACGCGACACACTTTTTACGGTACCGAATAGGCAGAATATGTAGGTAGGTACTGCCACTGCGTTAAATATTTTACAAGTATTATAAAATAATATTTTATCTGATGCGGATGAGAACGGCGCGCGCGATGCCCGCTGACTGTGTTCGGGCCGAGTGCACCGCGGCAAGTCGGTAGGCGCGCTATGAGGTCACGAGCCACCGCCGCCGTCGCCGCTGACTGAATAATATAATAAAATAATAATATAGTTTGGTGGTGGGGTTACACGCGCTCGCCCCGGTCGTACCTGGTCAGGTGAAAGTGTTGTCGTCATGACGACGACTACGACGACCGCGTTTAATGTTTGTGGTCGCACACGACTGTAGGTACATCGTTTTATTTCCCGAAACGATTTTTAAGCCTGTACGTCGCACGCGACCATCATGGTTCGATACGTAAATAATGAATGCATTGGTGCATATTGTTATTTATTATTAGTGCATCGTATGTGCATTCTGAAAATGTCGAGCCGTCATGACCCAATAACCTGCCTAAATTATATATACGTCTTGGAAGGCGTTCATAATATTGTATAATTTTACTTCCAAGACCGTTGGAGGACGGATCTTCGCTAAGGGTATTATTTTGAGCCGTAACAAGCTACCAATCATCTGTAATATACTAATATGCATAGCATAATAAATAATAATTATTATAAAATAGATTTATCGCGCCAATAATATAAAAACTTTATTGGTCCGCACGAACCGTCTTCAGTTATTTTTGATATTTTTTATTCCATTTCTGATTTTTACAGAAATATAATACGTAGGTACCTACAAATCATAATATTGAGATATTGAGTACCTACAACCTTAGTTGCGTGTTTGGTGTCATAACCGCATAGTCTCCTATTAATAAAATAAATACTTTTGTTCTGCCAATGCAGATTTCCCTCGCGGCTTATTATACAAATAAGTAATACAATATACCTCACATGTCCTATTTGTATATACGTAAATATTTTATAAATATCCGCAATTAGGTTTTTTATATAGGTAGCCGAATGTGATAAGGCTAGAGCAGGGACGGTCAAACTTTTTTCGGCTGCGATCTACTAAAAATATACTTCACCTTTGAGGATCGACTTCGATAAAAAAGTTTTTATTATTAAGTTACTATACCACCATAATTAATTTTCGTGTGCGCAGTCTAAAAATAAATTCTAGCACGATCGAATTAAATTTTTTTGCGATCGACTGTTTGGCTGCCCCTGGGCTAGAGAATCCGATCAGCCATGCACGGTTTTTAAAAATGAATTATCTACTCGCAGTTGCTTAGGAAGTTAAAATAAGTTTAATTTTTTAACATAGTTGAGTTTCCTATAACATCAAAAATTAATAAAAGAAGTTTGTGTATACAAGATGATTAAAAGAGGCCACATTATTGAAAATCGGGATCGTCACAAAGAAAAAATGGAGAGCTAATAGTTACCAGTTTAGGTGACTATTTTTTGTTTCGTTTAGTAGCTGAGAGATATCTCTAGGAATGTTATTATCATGTAACCTCGACTTTTCGCCTTGTTTATTTATGTTCATCATAAGATGGCAACTGATCGACTATTTTAAGAGAGTTACATTGAGTATTTGTTAACATATTATATTCTATGAAAAAACAACTTTATTAATTATGTACTCCAGTGGCGCAACCAGGGAGGGTTCCGGGTCCGGACCCCCTTTCCTTGAACCGCATCGTATCTTTTTAAAATACCGTAATTTTATTGTTACAGAAGTATACACATTGTCATGCCCAGACGGGCCACTGTGTTAGTGTTCAGCACAGTAGGCCGCACACCTCAATTTTTTAATAAAATACTTGATTTTTAAACAATTAATAAGTAAAAAAAAATTGTTATATTGGGTCTATGGGCCGCCTAACTTACCGAGAGTAATTATATTTTTGAATCCCCCCCCCCTTAAAAAAATCCTAGTTGCGCCACTGATGTATGATAGCCAATTCGTGTTAACAAATCGAGAGATCATCTACAGTTTTCAAAATAATAACTAAAAGTCAATATTCGATGTGACACGTCCCAAACTAAGATAGCCACCAATAAGGAATTCGGTGACTTGTCACTAGTCACTACCAACTGAATACTGAACGCACAACGATGACACTTAACTCGATCTTCTCACTTTGACTATTACTGGTTGTACCACAGTAATAATTATTTGAAAATTCATCATAAATTTCTTAATTGGCTCAATAGATTTTGACTACACAATAACCAGAGTGGCTTATAACTCAAAAATATTTTAAAGTCAAATTATGTTCATTGACACGCAGGAAAAGATTAAATTATAACAACCAGGTATGTTTGATAACATATGTGTGGGGAGCTTTGAAAAAAATAAGCGTATAGTATGGTTCTGTTAGAAGTGTTGCGAGTAGATTTGAAAATTTTCATTTGTGGGTCTTAAGATCTCCTCCTACCACTATATAGTATATATCCATCCGTTACAACGACCGTATAATTATTATATAACATAAAATGATCGCAAAATTTCATATAGATACAATATAATGCAATATTTATATATAAATACATACAGCGGTTGATAATACTACCAAAAGAGTGAAGTAGGCACTAGTGTATTACCTATAAATACATTATATATAATATTATATTTATACAGAATTTACAACGCAACTTATAGCTTATCGTCGGGTCTTAGTAAAACGATTGTGATACAATCGACACGTATCGTATTATATTATTACACTAGTAATACACGATCTGCACACGCAATGCGACCATGACACATGTGTGTAAACAACGGTTCAAAATCGCGTGGATAAGTCCGATCCTTACAACAACAATATTGAATGCGATTGCGTGTAAGTACACTACTTACAATTTAATTAGCATGTCCTAGCATCTTGCAGCCCACGCCCCGCGGTACCCATGTAATACGTATAAATACCTCTTGGAGCGTCGTCGCGAAACCGGATATGTGTCGCGTGTATGACGCGGCATTTCATATGGGACGAGCGGTAGATGACCGTCCATGAATACATGAAAATTGTAGACCTATACCACAGAGGATTTAATACATTATCGATATTAAAATATAATATACAAAAGTGATAAATATTAAATACTGTTTTTAATATTTAATTTAATCATAATTATTAAACCTATATATATATATATATATATTTATAATTTTAAAACCTGACTATAAATTTCATTGCGAATTTTTTTTTAACGAATAATCGTATCAATCTGATTTTCCTAATTTGAACTGACTGGATTACACTACAATGCGTATTAAATTGTAAGCTGTAGATATGTGTACACATCCGACCACAATTAACTCTATTTTAAGATTAATTAATTAGAATTTTTTTACAAACAAAAAACGCAAAACATTGCCATAATTCGCGGGATAAATAAATTAACAAGCTAAACATATTTTTTTCTCATTTTTTTTTTTACAAGCGTATAGGTATATAATTTGAAAACCCTCAACTTCAATTTTATTTCACTAAGCGATTCTTGAAATTGTAGAAGTATCATGGCCGCTCAGAGTCGTTTTTTTGCAAACAATGGTAAATCATTAAATTTAAATTTAACACGCCCGCAATTGATCTTGGTAATAGAGACCATAGATTATAAATACTATTGTGTTTATAATCAATGATAGAGATCCACTCAACATATAAACTGTACAGAATACAGTAGAGCGGTACCCTTGACCACCTTTTTAATGCATTATTATAATATAACTTGTAATAATAATGTCTATTTTTTAATATGAAATCACTAATAGGCGTGATATTGTTAAATTTTAATTGCAACAACATTCAAAACTAAATTTATTTGCTATAATTGCTTGCTAACTTTTATTAACTATTAATCAGAGTATAATATTGAACGTACACAACAGCTCGCTATGTTCACAATATTATACATTTATATCTAATCTACAACTTTTTATTCACAGGATCTTTTGTCCAAAAATCAAATTATTTCAATAATTTACTCCAAACGGGAAAATTTTTAAGTACATCGTGTACATCACATTTCCACAAGATTTTTAAATTTATAAATATCATATTTGACGCCTGGGAAAAGCAATTCAATCCCTTTTAATAACAATCATATATTTTAGTACCTAACTATTACTTAAGATTCTTAAGTTAAGAATATAGTACGATTAAAATTGCAAAATGTGTAAAATGACTATTACTGTTCTCGTATGTTGCCCATCGCAAAGCACTAAACATAAATTCTGTTTATAGTGCTTATCGTATATACACGATTATAAAATCGCCGTAACGGTACACAAACATTGTCATAAATTTATCTCATAAAATAGGTAGATAGTAGATACCTTCTACGGGTATGACTATTAATGAGTATTGTTTAGCAAGTAGGAGGTAATTATTATCTGCGCTATTAAATATTACACTTTTCTCTAATTAATAATTAAGCCTGATTTTTCGAATGCCATCTTACTGTAAATTTAACAGAAATAGGTACTATATATAATATTTGTTCAGTAAAATTACACAAAATACGAATTTACTTAATATAGTATGTACGTCTTATAAATAAACGTTAAGACTTACATTACTAGCTTACCCGATTTGTAATAATAAGTAATGGTTAACCTTTTAAAAAATCTCAGAATCCTGACATAAGTAAATATCTAATAGTATACTTTTTACAAATGACTTGGAAATAAAAATAAAAATACTTTGTTACTTTAACATTTTTGATTTTGAATTTAAGGAGATAAGCACACTCGCAAAAAAAAATTAAGAATAGTATTTTTAAATTCTTTATTTTTAAATCATATTTTATACTCTGTTCTAAAAAAAAAAATATCTAGTTTTGTGAATGTCAACCGATTGTGATGCTGTAGGTTTAAGGCACTATAAGCTCACTTACATGGAATCCGAAGGCATTGGTGACCAATGATCCTATTCAAACTTTTACAGTTTTGTTAGTTTTGGTTACTGGTTAGTAAACAGTGAATTGTCAAATAGAAACAGGTTGATAGATTGAAATACTGAATATTTTTTTCCAGAAGAGAATAGGTTTATTTTTGAAATATTTAATATCTGCATGGCTGCATCTCTGCAATATTGTAGGTATATAACGATTTCCTCTTCTTATTTTTTGATAGTTGAAAACTTTTATCGATAATTATAACTTAAATAAGTTAAGCATTAATGAATATATTTTTAAATATTTCTTAATATAATGTAAATATCTTAGTAATTGTTTCAGTTTAAAACTTGAATATCAGGAAGGGCAGGAAAATCTTTAATGATTTATAACTTAACCACTGTAAAGTATTTTTTATAAATAATTTTATTACAAAAATACATAGATGTATAGCCATAGCCAGTGAAACAGTTTATTTAAACATATGTTTTGTAAAAACAATATAATAGTGAAATTCGTTCAGCTAATACTTTTTATATTTTAGTATTTACCATACAATTGATTTATAAAAGCAATTTAAGTAATAAATAAATTGGTATTTGATACAATAGGTCACAATGAAGTTAATATTCTGTAGTCACAGATCCATATATTGTTTTAACATAAAATTTTTTTTCTATTTAAAATATTTTAAATCAACTGAATAACCCATATAAAATATGTTTAAAATTAATTTAATAATAGGGATGCTTAAAGCCGGTAAAATCTATAAATACTAAAAACATACAATTGCCAATTTTTGGTAAACATTTCTTTAATAAAATAATTACATTTTAAAATTAAATTACTAATAATAATAATAATAATGATAATAATTTAAGGTAAGAAATGTGTAGGAAAAATAATTTATAAACATAATAATTAATAAGGTGAGTTACAATTAAATACTTAATTACAAATGGAGAACCACATCGGGAAACAGTCAAAAAAATTAACTAAGAAGACTAGTGATTAACCAGTAACATATTCTTAAAGCCACAATTGAACAATTATTAATTAATTGCATTTTATTTTCATTTAAGTTCTCGCCAAATTATTATTAAAAAAAAAGTATTCTAGGAACCGCGAAATAAACTTAAGATAGAAGTTTATTCTTGTGTTTCAAACTGATCATTTAAAATAAACAAACAATAATAAATCTGATCAGCACAGACAGAAACTTTTTTGTATATTAATGACTAGAATTTAAAATAAAAAATAAATTTAAGATCAAATTGAAATGGCAAAAATAAGTCACTTTTGAACACTGGATTAATATGGTTTAAGTTTCATAAGTCAATAAAAATTAGAAAAATTAAAATAACCTTTTAAATAAATTTAAATGTAGTCAATATGATTTTAGTTTATTTTTAATTATTTTAAACATAAATGGATTTCTAAAATGTAAAAAAAAAAAAAACAAAACAAAGGACACCACCTTGCAATTACATTTTGAAGATAACAATTAACATATTTTATAATGTGATTCAAATTTTTGATTATCATATATCACATTATACATTAGCGTATACCACCCATTATGCCATTATGAAAACATTATGTGTTTGGAAAAAGAAAAAATGAAAAATAATAATTATTATAAATTGTTTTAAGTAGCCAATCATTAAATAAAAAAAATCACATTTTTTAATATTTACCTATCACATTATCAATTTAAAAAAAAAAAAAACATTTCTAAACATTGATATACTTAACAAAACTATGTTTAAAATACTTTACAACAAAACACGCGAGGAATTAGAGGAACTAAAACAGGAAAATAATGCCCAAGAGCTAGAGGTATCAAAATTTATAAGAGGTTAATGAATAGTACAAACGTATCAAAAATGTTAATTTCTATTATTATCAATCACAAGCCCATTGGGTTTTAAACTAATTTTTATATTCATAACAGTTAGAACAATGTAATTTCTGAAGTTGTGTTAATTGAAATTGACTTGGAATAATGTAACAGAACAACTGAATCAAGTACTGGTTAAAATTGTGAGTAGAGCCTGAGCTTGATTATGGCATGATAAAGAGTGTTAGCATATAACATTATGATCTAAGAATGGTTATTAGTTATTACACTGTTGAATTTCTCACTTTGAACACTACACTCTAGGTCAAGATACAATCAAGTTCGGATACATCTAATACATACTCTGATCTTAAAAATCTGTATACCAAAAGCTTTTTAATGTTCCCTGAACTAATTCTAAGAAAGCTCACAATAATTTTATGTCACAAAAAATGACATGCTCACTAGTACATTATAATTTTAAACGTGTAAAAATAGGACTTAATTATTAATAACTAATGGTAGTCTTATTTAGACTAAATAAATAATAATAAACAAAATAAATACTTAATATCACAATTATGTAGAACATATAAAATACTTATTGATTAGATAAAAACATGGATGACTTATTCTGTAGACGCAGACCCATGACTGCAAACAGATTGAGAACTATGAGAAGATTTACGACCATTAATCTCTAAGTGTGCAGCTGGGACCCAGCCTTCAGTTTTAGAACCTGTGAAAAATAAAATTTTATAATACAATCTTATACTAGTTGAAATTTAAAAGATTATGTCCATTTATCACTCAAAACTTACCATGAACTTTGACATACCACCAACTACTCGAACCAGCTTTTAGAAGATCTACTTTATCACCTCTTTTTAATGTAGCATCTGTTGGTCGAAGTGCATTATAATCAGCTAATGATATATAACTATCAGTCTGGAAAAAAGTTAAGAGAATTATATTATAAAACTAATTCCTTCAATTAACTTACTATTTTTTGTTTAATTGTCCCATCAAGGGATTCGTCATCAGTCAAACTATAGTCAGATGAATCATCATCAGTTGTTTCATGATGACTTAGTGGACGTCTACTACGGTTAGATCCTGTTTCACTTTGGTTATCCAAGGAATGTGTTTGACGTAAGTTTCTGTACACATTTATGACATTAAAATAATTTGCAGACACATAATATTCAATAGACAATAATAGTAAAAACACAAAACTTACACATGTTTTCCAAAAGCACTAATATACTGCTTGATTTTTTCTCCTTTCAGTTCAGCTAATTGTTCAAGTAATACACGTTTAATTTCAGAAACCCATTGTTGTTTTTGCTGCAAATTTGATGCTTGAATTGTATAAATTTCCTGGCGCCCTTCTAACCATACTTCAAATTTGCATAAATCTCCTTTGACAGTTTCTGTTAATCCTATGTGCGACATCTGCAAGAATAGGATATTTATACTTACTTAATTCACTATTAATAATTTAGGGAAATAAAAAAAAATTGACTCACCCTTAAATATTTCTTGTAATGATATGTTGGTTTATTATCTTTAGATACTTTTTTACATAAAAGTAATCCCTGTTGATAGAGAAAAATTTGACGTCTCATAGGCTTAAGTCTTAATTCTTTCAATAAATCTTTCTTGTTTTCAACCCACAAAGAGAATGATCCTTGTAAAAGTAAACCACCCAAATCATTCCAATCACCCTACATTTAACAAAAAACTATTTTAGTTTTTTATGTTTTATTTTAATAATTAAGACTCCACTAAGAAAAATTATAACTTACATAAAACCCAGTTATGCCAATTTGATGCATGTTGTCATTAACATTATTGAGAACAAGTAACATACAATCCAAAGCTTTTTGTAACTTGATAATACAATTTTGATTTTTTTCATTGTGCAATAGTTCCTACAAATTAATAAAATTGCAGTTGAAGAATTTTTACAATGATTCCATTATTTCATCATAACTACTTTTAATAAAAGTTGATATTTAGTAATCCTTTGCATAGGCAAAAGTAAATATGCACCAAGAGGCAAACGGTGTCCAAGCTTTTCTTGACATGCTTTAAAAAAAGGATTATCTTCTCCAACTGTTTCTCTTAATTCTTCAGACCTTGTTAGATTAACACAGTAGTAAGTATAAAGCTGAAGAAGTTTCTCCCTCTGAAAGCAATAAAGAATATAATTAAATATAAATGTAATATGATTAACTGAACAACTATTACATTATCTGTAAAGCAGACAGCGACAGATTCAATACTTGATGAACTTTCAAGAGCCGGTAAAAAAAATTGATTATGAAAGCTATGAATACTTTCAAGATTTCCAAAGAGAACTTCACTTTTACCATTTAAACTTGCAGGTATTAAGTTTTTCATATCTGGAAATTCCATTTGGTCTTTATATCCCTTAAAAAAAAAAAAAATTTATACACTAAAATATGAAGAATTATTATTTATTTTTAAACATACTCTAAGTATAGAGCCTAACTCAGCAGTATATTGTCGTTCTGTATATAAAAGTTCAGTGAGAACATGTTTTGTTTTGGTATCATTATTTTCTTCATTTTGAACAGCTCTATCACATTCATCTATACCATTTGAAATCTAAAAAATGAGTTTATCAATAATAATAAATATAATAAAAAGCATTAATCCCAGTTCCAAGTTATGTCATATATACTTTTCAGGCTATTATCTGCCAAAATAAAAGTTAAGCGAGATAACTAAAACAAATGGTCTATCAACTTCAACATTAGAAAATATTAAATTATATTAAATATATTAAGAAATAGGGATACTAAGCTTATATAAAACTATGTTAAAGAAAAATATAACTCTTTTCAACATAGATAACAAAGAGCAATAATATAAATAGTTAATACGATATAATATGATATACAAATTTGCCATACAATACATAAATATAACTTATAACTTACCTTAGTCATATTAGCTAAATTAATAGGAATGGCTGGTTCAGGATTAACAGATAGAATAGGCCGTGGTTTATTAATGTAACGCTTAAGACTTGCCAAACGTTTGTCACACATGGTGGTAACATCATCAAGTCTTTGAAGGACTTGTGTGACTATAGGTTTAGTTTCAGGTGTTATGGTATCTTCAAATAAAGAATAAAATTCCCTAGGACTTTCTACTTTCAAGTGATGAGCACTACTCATAAACTCTTCTAATTCCGCAAGTGATTGTTCGGCACTAACACATTTTTCAGCTGGTTCTGAGCCCAAAATCATAACACCTTTGGCACACCATTCACTAGCCTATGTAAGAAAAAATTAACTTAGAACTTTCAATATCAATATTAAGAATATTCTATTATAAATTACAGTGCATTAAAATATATTATTATTATTAAAGATTTTATAGATTTAGATATATTTATTATTATTTAACTAAAATTTAGATTTAGAGGTATGTGAAGTATATTATATTCTTTTACAAAAAATCTTTTTAAATTTAATAAAACATTACTAATAAGCTACTTTATGAATTTAAGGCGATACTATAAAAATCATAATATAACAATAATTAGGATTAAAATTGTGATTTGATACATAAAAAGCTACTATAAAAAATTATATTCAAAATAATAAAAAATAAGATATCCATTTTTAATAAATATTTTTTAAAAATGCTATAGATTGCTTTGTTTATTATATAAATATATTAATTTTTTTATAATAATTATGTTAAATTTGTATGTAAATCTAATTTAAATATGAAATAATATATAATAATTATTAAATTTAATACATACTTTTTGAATTCTGGCCTGTAATTCACAGCTTTTATTTAAAGTTTGCAGCCGTTTTTCTAAACGATCATTTAATGTTTGAAGAAGACGTTGAACTTCGTCACATTTTGGTTGAACACTTTCCAATACAATAAACCGTTTTGAAGCTAATAATTGTTTGCCACAATTTAATAAATCTTCACTCAGCTTTATTTTTTCCTAAAATTTATATTTTTAATTAGCGAATAAGGATTAAAATTAATTAAAATATTAACCCAGTTTCAAAAAGAATATTTACAAATAAAAATTATAACTGTATAATAATAAATAAATATTTAATTGAATGTTTACTGTAGAATATTTCTTACAGTCATTAATTTTCAGACTTAAGCATAGTAAGATTATATTTTCTATGTTAACATCATAAAATGTAACATAGATTAATACATATATTTTAAATCCTGAGCAAAGTTATGGTTTTAAACTATAAGTTATTTTTCTATTAAGTATTTTTAGATATATTTTGTTATACCTGGGTGTTAACAGAAAAGCAATAACCTCTACTATTATTTTGTTGGTCTGACACTGTCATCAAATTAATTTCTTCCATTTTCAACAGCTCATTGAATGTACTTAATAACTTATCAAACATAAAATTTTGTATCTTTTCTTACTTTTCCAAAAACCATACTCTTTTTAAATTCCTCCTTATTCATAGACTATGGCCATAAAAAGTTTACACTGTATTCTTTGTAACATTAAAATACTACCTAGTCAATGGATTTAATTTTAGTATTATTATACTTTATACATACTATACAATCATGTTATCTACTTATATAACTCCACTTGACTTTAATAAAATTATTAATGTTAGAAGTCAATTACATTATATGCAAAATATTCTTCCAAGAAATAGATTATAATGTAATACATAAATTAAAAGAGCCCTGTCACTGAATAGCTTACCATGCTCAATATCTTTAAGTCAAATTTATATAATTTTTCTTCATATTTGCTTATTGCATTTATTTAATACAGATTGTAGATTTATTTTTCAATAAAAAAAATTTGAAAATAAAAAGGAAATATAAAAAATACTTACATGACTAGATGTTTGAAATGTAGTCAACTCTTCAAGTAATACTTCAACTCGTTCAACAGAATCACCAACATCAGTCATTTCAGATAGAATTTTCAAATTTTCATTTAATGAACTCTACGTATAAGAAATGAAAATATTAAATATTTAATATATGATACAGTTATAAATAATTTTGCAGTAATAGTTCATAATTTAATTATATTTATATTTATTTTTTATTTTAATTTAACAAAAAACCTCTACTAAATAGTGGACATCAAAGTAAATGGAATGTTGCTATATTTGTGCAGAAATAAAAACAAACAAGTCTGTTATTAAAAAATTGTTCATTAATAAATATTTCACTAATTTAAATTATTGTTACATACTTGAACAATATTAAAATTTTCTTCAAAAGCCCTCAATGAATAACACTGCTTTAGTCTTCCAGAAAACTGTTCCCAAAAATCATCAAATACTTTTTCTGTTTCTTCCATTTGTACCAATAATCTATAAAAAAAAAATATTAAATTACATAGCTAACAATTATAATTCATAAGAAATATACATAAATAAGTTAAAACACAAAAGGACTATCTCTTAAGAAAATGTCAATGCATTATTAGTTTTTTCTTACTGACAAATATATATATATAACACAACATAACAAATTTGTGTGAAACAAAACCATCGTTGATAGTTTTAATATTATAGTTTTTTGACTTACAATTAAACTTAAAACTAAGAAAAATATTTATGTGTATATGTTGGCTTTTTATTTTATTTTATTTTGTATGCAAGTTACGAGTTAGTAAAATATTAAAACTTAAGAATGCTGATATAATATCCTAGAAAAATTGAAATATTGCATAAGCCAATATAAGACTACAGATAAAATTCTTAAATTTAATTTTGATAATAGACCAATTCACTCTTATATTATATATAATATTTACAGTGAATAATACAAAATTGGTTCTGCTGAACATAAATTTGCTATATTGCACACGAGCCAAAGAAAGAAAATAAATAGTGAAGCTTAATTAAATAAAGCTATTCTATAAATTCAATAAGTAGATTGTGTTATATATTTATTTTTGTGGTAAGCAAATTATATAAAAGCAATTTTGTTACCTAATAAATGGAAACGTCATTTGTCTAATAAAATAAAAAAAAAAATTTTCAAGTCATTACTTAAAATACAAATTTAAAATTAAAAAAGTACCAAACATAAAATATAAAAACATTAACAAAGAAATTCTGAATACATGTCTTTAATTCTTTGATACAGTATTCTATTTTAGATGGTAAATAAACACCTTTAGCAATTAACAGACAACAATAATTTCAAATATTATTGATACTTCAAAAAATAAATATGAAGTGTATTGTTCCAGATTAATTTTTTTTACCTATTAAAAGCTATAAAATAAGAATATAATTAAAACAAAACTGCCATAATCAAATAAAATAATTAATAACTTATTGTATTTAAAATATATGCAGTATGAATAATTGTTGAATTTATACAACAACATTTTTAAAATAAATATTATAATAAGTATTTTAATTTAGGTAAATGAACAATGTTAATATATGTATAGAAAACCAATAATAATAATAATAATAATAAT